ACACTGATTCTGTGAATGAGAGAATTCAGCCACTCAATTCACAGACACTTCACAGCCTCTAGTTGCACTTCAACTGTTGTGTTTGATAACCAGACAACCATAACAGAATAAGAATGATCGAATTTAAAGGAGTAGTTCACTTTAAAAAAAAAAACTTTTGCTGATAATTTACTCACCCCCATGTCATCCAAGATGTCCAGTTCATTCTTTCTTCAGTCGAAAAGAAATTCTTTTTGTGGTTTTTTGAAAAACCTGAAAACTGAAAACCTTCCAGGATTTTTCTCCATATAATGGACTTCAATGGGAACCAAACGGTTCAAGGTCCAAAAGACAGTTTTAGTGCAAACTGTTCAAAGGGCTTTAAACGATTTCAGACGATTAATAAGGGTCTTATCAAGTGAAACGATCGCTCATTTCAAAAAAAAAAAGAAAAGAAGTTTAAGTTTTATAAGCTCGCCTTGCTCTGTTCTGTAATGCGCGTTCGTGACTCTCCCGTTCGAACTCGTTTATCAAAATGAACAAATCTTTTTTTCGTGTCATTTTGTTCATTCAACGAACGAAACGAATGAGTTGACTCAGGAAAAGATTTGTTCATTTTGATGAACGAGTTCGACTAGGAGAGTCACTAACGCGCATCACAGAACAGAGTAAGGTGACCATTTGAGCTTATAAAACTCAAAGGGGAACTGTGTTACATTTTTTTAAAAATGAGCGTTTCGCTTGATAAGACCCTTATTCATCGTCTGAAATCGTTTAAAGCCCTTTCAACAGTTTGCAGTTTGCACTGAAACTCTCATTTGGACCTTGGACCGTTTGGTTCCCATTGAAGTCCATTATATGGAGAAAAATGCTGGAATGTTTTCATCAAAAACCTTAATTTCTTTTCGACTGAAGAAAGACATGGACATGGATATCTTAGATGACATGGGGGTCAGTAAATTATCAGCAAGTTTTTTTTAAAAGTGAACTACTCCTTTAATGAGACCTCTTTAATATCTCAGGTTTGTCCTAAACAGCAATGAGATTAAATGGAGAATAAATGTGGACTTCTCAGGATACTTTTCAGAAGAGATCTCAACACAAAGTCTGGGATAAACTCAAGATTTCACATCAAATTCTTCCAAAACCAAATTAGCAGCTATCCACATTAATTTGATTACTACACTCGTTTTTTGTTCCTCATAAGGAATTTCAGGAAAAACATCTGAGACAAAGTTGATGATTTAAAATAAGTCGTAACTAAGAACTCCAAGTCTCTCCAGCTATGAAAGAGCAACAGTTGAGCAATAAAAAGGAAACAAATCAACACACAGTGACCAAAAAAAAAAAACAGAAAACCAGTGCGTAACCACATATGCATTAAAAAGATCACTAGTCAAGGGTCTGTATTACATCCTGTCATGGCAGATGATGACCAAGTCTCTCAAATGTATTGGGCCTCAAGTTTATGTCCCAGTAATGGTTATAAAAAATATGCTCCAAAGTCAAGCACGACTCACCCTCGCATAGTTTCTGCTCCATCAGGTCCCATATGCTTGCAATAGATTTGTAGTCCTCCACGTGTAGCACGTAAGTAGAGGCTGGCTTGTTGGCCACGGACACCAACTCAGAGTTCGTGATCTCACTTCCCACACCGACTGCAAACAGAACAATATTTTGTGCCCTGGCCTCTATTGCAGCGTCCTCGACGTCATCCTGTGAACGTCCATCGGTGAGCACCACGGCGATGCGGTTTCTGGGAGACTTGGAGGTGTGGTCGGGCATCCCGAAGACGTGGTCCGTGGCAAACTTGATGGCACGGCCAGTCCTCGTGTTGCCTCCCAGGTACGAGATGGAGGTGATGGCCTTGACCAGTTCCTGGCCGTTCTGATGCTTTCCCAGAGGAATCTCCAGGCGAGGGGTGTCACTGTACTGGATAACCGCCACCTGAGTGTGCCTGGTGCTCACGTCAAAGCCACTGGTGATGTTGATGAGCCAGCGCTTGGCTGTTTCAAAGTTGGGGAGCCCCAAGCTTGAGGAGCCATCGATGATGAACGCAAGGTCATTGGGGGTTGTGCTACAACCTGCAAACCCAGGAAAACATTTGCCCATAGAGTCCACATACACACAGTTCTAGTGAAGACATGTAGCCTACATTTGTCCATCTCAATTAATCAATGTCAAGAGTTGCTCAATTTAACTGAATTCACCCTACAGTGTGTCAACAAAAGAATGACTTAATACGTATTACTGAAGTAATTTACTTAAGTGTATTCACTAACATTTATGCATTTGGCAGACACTTTTCTCCAAAGCGACTTACATTGCATGCAAGGTAGAGGGAATGCGCGTGACGTCACCGTCGGCTGTGTTTGTTTTCAGCGTGAATGCCGCGAAAAACAAAGACATACAACAGTGGGAAAGAGCTTTGCGATTGAATGTACAACTAGATTTGACAAAAAATCGGAGCTATATTTCTACAGACTGCTATAGAAAGAGGAGCAAATGGATCGCTGCAATTCACAGAAACAGCTGGACTCCAGTCAGCGAAGGTGGATTCGCAGTTATCATTAACATTATATAGCATAGATAAATAACGCTGATATAAGTGATCACCCGGATTTAGACCTAGCTGCTACCTATATATTGTATTTATATAAAGCGTTCACTGGCAAATTTCCAAATGTTTAGGTCTATATTGCTTTTATTTCCCCGGTGTCGAAATCAGGCAAACATAAATGTCAGGGAACACGATTCCTGGCTGCATGTCAATATCCATGGATCACTGGATCTTTAGTAAGTTGTAAGGAACACTATATTGATCCAACATTTAGATTAATTGACAAAATTATTCGTTTTAGTCGCATTTTCTCCTATTAAATCCAGTCACGCAGCAGATCTTTTGCCACTCAGTCAGGCTGAGGGGGATTGTTCCGGCGGGAAAGTGATGTCAATGCATTCCCTCTATACATGTACATTTATCAGTTCATGTATTCCCTAAAATTGAACCCTTGACATTGCTACTGCAATGATCTCCTGTGTGAGCTACACATTCCTCAAGAGTGTCACTTTAATGACCATTTATATTGTTCAAATGTTCAATGATTCAAACCATGTGACTAATATATCATGAAGAATAGGATAACAAACCAGCTTGAGTGTCCTCTTGCTGGAACCCACTGATGTACGGCAACAAAACACAAACGACCAGTGAACAAAACCTCCATGTCCTCATGGTATGCCAACTAGAAGCCACGAAGAAGGTAGAAAATCCTGTCCGGAAATTTTATGTTAATATATAATTATCAATATATGTAATGAGCATCCTCTGAATCATTCCTTTTTCATTCATTATTTAAAATTAAATTGTAAATGCTCAATGTAAAGACATACTGCAGAAGTGCAATGATGTTATTTTAACAAATGCATCCAAAAACTATGGAGTTACCATGATTTCCCATGTTATATTTTTTAGTAATACCATGGTCCTTGGAAAAGTTAAATTGAGAGAACATAAAAACATTTCAATAAACAAGTAAAAACTTAAATCTCTCACCAACAACGTGAGTCCTGGATATCCAGAGGTTTAAAAAGTCAGTCACCACCAATTAACACGTTACAAGGCAACAACTACAAATGCTCTCAGAACTGACGTGAAGTAAAGTCCAGTGCGCAGATGGTACAGCCAAAGACTATTTTATATCTACACCCAGTGACGTACAGCCTTCCCTGGGCAGAATGAAAGAGCGACAGGCATCAGAGAGAGGGAGGAGTACGGGTTTAACCCTCCACAAAACCATCTTCAAAGAAAGTCAGGCCAAATGGCTCCAAGCCTCCAATCTCAAGGCCCGTGCCACAAATAGCACAGTCCAAAAAGTCTTTATTTTCTCTGCCGTCATGCATTGAGTTATTTAGTTGAGTCCATTGACATTACATTAACATCATGTCTGTGCAATGTCTTTTGTGTTAAAGCAAAGAATATGTCTTTATTCTTCCAGTAGCACATAGTTTGTTTCCATCTGTTTAGGCCAGATACTTAAACACAGATGTTGGTACCTTCCTTTGAATCCCAATACTGTGAAAAGAAAAACTCCTAGGGGACCACCGTCGTTCTCTATTGGGCCGTTTATGAATGAAAATATGTTTAGCACATCTAACCACATTATACCTGGTCAAGGAATATGTACCTGTGAGTTGCTTTGCTAAACGTCCCTGTGTATATATTTATACACCACAGAATTGTACACATATCCGCTGTTCAAACACATTTATATATTAACACAGCTATTTTGGATCAAAGGTGGGCCTCTACCAGAGGAATCACATTAGACAAAAATAGAGAAGACATAAACAACTCAACTGAACTGAAGCATGTGAGTTTAGTTTAATGGTGTGTAGTGTTTTTAATATGATGTAATGACGCTGAACTACAATGCTTTTGTTGTGTCAAAGGATCTAGGGTGGAAAAGCACTGGAAATGAATGATATAATATCTCAAGAATGAAGGAGGAATGTTTCTGCTTGTCCTTAAAGTCAATGAAATGGTGGTATTGGTGATTGTGACATTTGCATAGTGTTGTTAACTCTACCTGGTCTTGAAGTTGAAACTTAGAAGCAGAGTGCTTGTTGAAAAATGGATATCATGTCACGGCTATACAATGTAGCCCTCTAGTGGACGGAGTGGTCTTTACACTGAGTACATACTTGCATAACTAAATCCTGGGCTCGGGAACCCCTAGTGGTTCAAAGTGATTCGAAAAATTACTTGTGTGCTTTTAAATTTCATTTTTTTAAACTTTAAATATCCCTAAAATCATACACAGTCTTCATGTCATGACGTCATCAATTTAGAGCTAAATGTCTGGGTTTTGTATTTATGAGAAAACTAAGCTTGTGTTTGATGTAATTTATTATTGTAACATTTCATTGTATTTTGTTACATTAGCATTTCATAAATACATGTAGCCACTATATCGAATTACTCCATAACAAATGTACATTTCGAGCTGCCGAATGAGAAACTTTAAGGGTGAGTTTAGGACCCTGCGACCCATAAGATATGAAGAGTGGGTGGAGTCACTGATGATTGACAGGATATTCTGGAGGCACGGCAGGCGAGTAATCTGGCGAAACTGACCACAGCCACACCGTCACACTACAGACGGCGAATTTTAACGAAATTCCGCCCCAACTCGGGAATTTCATCGCGTTTTGATGCCGAAATATTGTCCAGAAAGCACCACCCATGGACTTCTATCTCTGATAATCGTGTTTGAGAGCTGATAATGATGAAGATGAAGCTGCGAGCGGCGGGAGGCGAAAATCACCGATGCGACTTGAATTCCGTTAACGGAACCGAACGGGAGAGCGGCGGCACCGGAGCGGCTCCGCTCGACAAGGAGACGGTGTTCGAGTGGTTCGGTTTACAGCTGAACCCTGCCGGGCGCGTGGAGCTGCTTTGCGGGCTGTTACATATGTGTCAGCCGCTAGAGCTGCGCTTCTTCGGCGCCTGTCTGGAGGATCTGGCCCGGAGAGATTTCAGCGTCCTGCGGGACTTCGAGATTCGGGCCAACTGCCCCGCTGATCTAGAGGGGCTGGTGGACGTAAGCGACCCCGTGGTGCTGTCAAAACTGCTTGTTTATTTGTCTTTGCTGGGATCCAAGAGCAGGGAATGCGCCGGGATTCTCTTCAGGACGTTGAGTCGAATGGACGCGGGGATGTGCGGGGCTTTACCGGAGCCGGAGAGTGTGGACCAACTGCGGCTGCTCTTCATGATGGGCTCGTTACACCCGGCGTTCAGTTTCCATCAGCGGGTCGAGTTGCGTGCGCAGTTGGACAGACTCCAAAAATGGGTGTGTGATATTTACCTCAAAATCCACTTGCATTACACATTACGTGGTTAAAATACTATAGTAATTTAATGTTGCGATCACGTTCCCCAAATTATACGATGGCAGATGGAAGTACCACCCCTACAGAAAAGTCGTGTGACAGTGATTGTTACCAGGGTACATTAGAGGGTAAGACTATGGTACTTTGAGATATAGATATACGTTACACATACATTTAGTACCGGTCGAAAGTTTGGTAACATTACTAATATACACTCACCTAAACAGGATTATTAGGAACACCTGTTCAATCATTCATTAATGCAATTATCTAATCAACCAATCACATGGCAGTTGCTTCAATGCATTTCGGTGTGGTCCTGGTCAAGACAATCTCCTGAACTCCAAACTGAATGTCAGAATGACGTATTTCACAATCTGCTCAGTTATTGGGATTTTCACGCTCTACCATTTCTAGGGTTTACAAAGAATGGTGTGAAAAGGGAAACATTTCCAGTATATGGCAGGGCAAAAATGCCTTGTTGATGCGAGAGGTCAGAGGAGAATGGGCCGACTGATTCAAGCTGATAGAAGAGCAACTTTGACTGAAATAACAACTCGTTACAACCGAGGTATGCAGCAAAGCATTTGTGAAGCCACAACATTCACAACCTTGAGGCGGATGGGCTACAACAGCTGAAGACCCCACCGCGTACCACTCATCTCCACTACAAATAGGAAAAAGATTGGAAAAATGTTGCCTGGTCTGATGAGTCTCGATTTCTGTTGAGACATTCAGATGGTAGAGTCAGAATTTGGCGTAAACAGAATGAAAACATGGATGCCTTGTTACCACTGTGCAGGCTGGTGGTGGTGGTGTAATGGTGTGGGGGATGTTTTCTTGGCACACTTTAGGCCCCTTAGTGCCAATTGGGCATTGTTTAAATGCCACGGCCTACCTGAGCATTGTGTCTGACCATGTCCATCCCTTTATGGCCACCATGTCCCCATCCTCTGATGGCTACCTCCAGCAGGATAATGCACCATGTCACAAAGCTTGAATCATTAAATTGGTTTCTTGAACATGACATTGAGTTCACTGTACTAAAATGGCCCCCACAGTCACCAGATCAACCCAATAGAGCATCGTTGGGATGTGGCGGGCCAACATTTCTAAAGAATGCTTTCAACACCTTGTTGAATCAATGCCACGTAGAATTAAGGCAGTTCTGAAGGCGAAAGGGGGTCAAACACAGTATTAGTATGGTGTTCCTAATAATCCTTTAGGTGAGTGTATATACAAATACATAAGGGCCTAGCAGCATTACTATTTTTTTTTTTAAAGAAGTCTCTTATGCTCATCATGCCTGCATTTATTTGATAAAAAAATACAGAAAAAAACTAATATTATGAAATACTTGCACAATTGAAATGGTTTTCTATTTTAATATACTTAAACTATAATTTATTTCTGTGATACAAAGCTGAATTTACAGCAACATTACTCCAGTCTTCAGTGTCACACGATCCTTTAGAAATCACTCTAATATGCTAATTTGCTGCTCTGTTGTTATCAGTTGGAAACAGTTGTGCTGCTTAATATTTTTTTTGGAACCTGTGATTTTTTTTCTTTCTTTTTTTCAGGATTATTTGAGGAATAACAGCAATTATTTAAAATACGAATGCACACAATAACAATATAAATCTTTATTATCACTTTTTATTTACACACTTTACACACCTTGCTTGATAAAAGTAGCCTATTAATTTATTTTTAAAAAAAGAAAGAAAAAATTACTGACCCCAAATTTAATGGTATTGTATATTGTTACAAAAGATTTCTATTTTGAATAAATGCTGCTTTATTTTTTTTCTTCTTTTTTTTTTTTATTTTTACTTTTGATTAATCAAAGAGTCCTGAAAAAAGGTTATCACAGGTTATAAAAAAAATATTAAGCAGCAGAACTGTTTCCAACGATGATAATAAAACAGTATTATAACGATTTCTGATAGACACTGAAGACAGGAGTAATGGCTGATGAAATTTCAGCTTTCATCACAGAAATAAATTATATTTTAAAGTAAATTAAAATACAATATTATATTAAATTTTAATAATATTTCACAATATATGTATTTTTGAAAAATGCAGGCTATAAATGCAAACTTTAAACTGGTGTGTGTGTGTGTGTGTATATATTAAGGTATTTAAAAATTCACGAGTCATTGTATTTACATGGTACTCCAGGGAATATTATGGTACATGACCATGGTAGTAAGTAATATGATACTATTTCATATATTGTCAAAAGTTACTAATAAAAATGACCAAAACACTTAGAGAAGCATACACATACCATGGTGAACATTTTGAACCAATATGAATCATGTAAATATTTCAAGTCAGTAACAAAAAGTACCATAGTATAATTTGAACATGTTATGCCAATAGTACAGGCTACATAAAAATGCCATGGTGTTATCATGTGATGCTATCAGTGCTCCATGGTACTGCCACTTAAACTGACATCACCTGGCACATGAAACTGAATAAACTCTAGTGTGAAAAAGGAATGTGTGCTGGATTCCAGTTGGAATTTCTATCATACTTTCGAATCAATCCTAAAGGATCAAATAAGATCCTACTGGATAAACTGACACTCCTACAAGATTTCTCGATTATTTCTTAGTTTTTAGAGAGTCTCTTTGGATATTGTGCAATGCTTAATAAAGTTCTAAATGTTTTGTGCTGGAATGATGTCAGTTAAAGGAATCACATGGTTCCTGAAAGATTTTATTTACATTCCATTCCATTGGATGTTCCGCAGTTGCCTGTTCTTGTCTTATTGGGAGTTCTTGAAAGAAGAAGGTCTGTTTAGTTCTGTTGGAATTTTAATCTAAATTCCATCTCGGATTGTTTTCAGATGTTCCGAAGGATTCCTTTGTTTGTTTGTTTGTTTGTTTTTGACTAGGGAGAGCCAGAGTTGTGTCAGACATCAGGTGCTAATGTCAGATGTAAAGTGTCCCTCTTAAAGGGATAGTTCACCCAAAAATGAAAATGATGTCATTAATGACTCACCCTCATGTCGTCCCAAGCCTCCGTTCATCTTCGTAACACAGTTTAAGATATTTTAGATTTACTCCAAGAGCTTTCTGTCCCTCTATCGTAAATGTATGTATGGTATACTGTCCTTGTCCAGAAAGGAAATAAAGACATCATCAAAGTAGTCCATGTGACATCAGTGGGTTAGTTACAATGTTTTGAAGCATCGAAAATAAATTTTGCTCCAAAAATAACAAAAACTACTACTTTATTCAGTGTTGTATTGTATCGTCTTCCGGTTCTGTTATGGATCCGCGTTCAGTGATGCGGCTGACGTGTATCCGGTGCGGCTGAGCTTCGGTTACAGTCCGAGGGAGACGCACCAAACAATTTTCACAAACATAACTAAGGATTTCCACACAGTGGAAGACTTGCATTTTTTTTGTCCAGCCATATTTATTTGAAACCGAATAAGCTGACGCACCAGACACACGTCAGCAGCGTCACTGAACGCGAATCCACAACAGAACCGGAAGACAATACAATGCTGAATAAAGTCGTAGTTTTTGTTATTTTTGGACCAAAATGTATTTTCGATGCTTCGTAACATTGTAAATAACCCACTGATGTCATATGGACTATTTTAATGATGTCTTTATTTCGTTTCTGTCAGCAAAAATCTAGCACGTTCCCTTTTCCTTCTTGATAGGAATGTGGTATCTCAAATACACGAAGCCTTTAATCCAACACAACTAGGCATGATGGGACGTTTGCTTTGCTAAATTCATCCGTCTTATAGGCTTGTGGTTCAATGCTATCCTCCCTGATCTCCTTTGATCTCCATGTGAATGACTTTATTGTGGGCTTTGCGTTTCATAAATGAGGCCATGTGTGGGGTTTCTCCGTCGCACTCATTAGACTGAATCGGGTCTCCAAAATGACATTGTCCGTTTGTTTATGAATGTCTGTTGTTTGTTGCTGATGTCAAGTTGAGAATGATGTTAATGGTTTAAATGATGGCGATGAGTCGTGGACATGTATGCTTATGCTCAATTGATATAAAACTAGAGGAAACGATGGATCACTCGGTTCAATCAAATTAATTGACATATTTTGAATGACTGAATGTGAATGGCTTTTATTTGGTTTGATTGTGTAAGTGTCGCGCCTCATATGCAATGCTTTGATTTACGGCCCACATTTGGAAACCCGTCCACTAGGTGAATGTCAGGTTTCTAGATCAGTTGTTGTCAGATCGTGTTTTGTTTTTAAAAAACACCAACGAAATGTCTTGAAACTAGGAAATTATTAAACTTGTGATGCATCAATATATGGGCTATATGCTGTATATTGATTAACAGTTTATAACTGTACCTGAAGTATAATACACATTTTCTGTATACAATTTCAAAGTATTTGAGACGCAATGACATATGCTTGAGGTCAGGTGAATGCACCTTTAACCTGAGTCTTGTCACTTTAGACAAATGTTTTTGTTGGTTCCTTTACATAACTGTATATTAAAGGAGTAGTTCACTTTTAAGAAAACTTTTGCTGATAATTTACTCACCCCCATGTTATCCAAGATATCCATGTCTTTCTTTCTTCAGTCGAAAAGAAATTAAGGTTTTTGAAGAAAACATTCCAGGATTTTTCTCCATATAATGGACTTCAATGGGAACCAAACAGTTCAAGGTCCAAATGAGAGTTTCAGTGCAAACTGCAAACTGTTCAAAGGGCTTTAAACGATTCCAGATGATGAATAAGGGTCTTATCAAGCAAAATGATCGCTCATTTAATAAATAAATAACAAAGTTTAAGTTTTATAAACTCAAATGCTCTCCTTGTTCTGTTCTGTGATGTGCGTTCGTGACTCTGCTGTTCGAACTCGTTCATCAAAATGAACAAATCTTTTCCCGTGTCAACTCATTCATTTCATTCGTTGAATGAACCAAATGACACGGAAAAAAGATTCGTTCATTTTGATGAACGAGTTCGAACAGGAGAGTCACAAACATGCGTCACAGAACAGAACAAGACCCTTATTCATCGACTGGAATCGTTTAAAGCCCTTTGAACAGTTTGCACTGAAACTGTCTTTTGGACCTTGAACCGTTTGGTTCCCATTGAAGTCCATTAAATGGAGAAAAATCCTGGAATGTTTTCATCAAAAACCTTAATTTCTTTTCGACTGAAGAAAAAAAGACATGGATATCTTGGATGACATGGGGGTGAGTAAATTATCCGCAAAAGTTTTTTTAAAAGTGAATTACTCCTTTAAACAATCTTTTGTTTTGTTGAATTTTTGCTTTTAGTGTGGAACAGACAATAAACCTATGGTGTATATCAATTTATATATTATAAACTTGCGTCTATTTTCCTTTGTAGAAAGTGTGATGTTGGAAATGAATGTTTACTCACCTTTTTAACTAATTTTCTTTCGATGTGACAGAGCCAGTTTTCCAGGCCGGGGTTCCTCTGTCGACACCGGGAGAATGACGTAGACTGGACTCTTTGCAGCAACACCAGTCCACACCTCAGTGGCACGACGCAGAGGGAAGGTATCTCATCGTCGCATGTTGAAAAGCTTTTCAGCTTAAAGAAAAAGACACATTTGCAGCACTTTAACGATGATGTTCTTTGACGTTGCAGTGGTGCACATTGAGAAGATCATTCTGAAGGAGGTTACTATGGGAGGAGAAGGCAGGCTGTACAGCTTCGAGGTAAGTTCAGAAACCCCTCAGACGTTTCATTTAAAGAATCCTCCAGGTTTTTCACAGTTATGAAAAATGATTTAGAATGACATGCACCCATAGTTGTGTGTCATAACGGTAAGTAAAAGACTCCTAAGAAATCAAGAAAAGAAATGTTGCTTGGTCTACACAGAATTTACAGATTTCCACAGAATTCAAATGACTGCATTAATGAATTTGAGTTAAATTCGAATTTAAAATTCGACCCCTTTTATGGTATTTTAAAAGTTCCTAATTTTGTTTTGGAGGTCTCCTATTTTGCATGCATCCAAGGTCCAAAAAAAACTTACATTTTTGCATACACAGTATATGTTTTTTTCATAGTGTCTGAAACAGTTCAATAGAGGATTCAGTGTCTCTAAACCCCTCCTTTCCAAGAGCCTACTCTGCTCTGATTGGTCAGATCGCCCAGTCTGTAGGCCAAAACGTGGAAGTTACGTGGAGTTAGCATTTTAGCACTTCTGGTTCCCTCGCCCTAAAGTCTATGGGTTTTTTGAATGGGTTTTTGCTAAATCGCCTGAAATAAGGTCTGTGGTGAACAAAACCTCTAAACATTTTCACGTTTTTATCTATGGCATGAAACACACCAGTTATATATATGGATTAACTTGTAAAGATTATCTTGACAGACAAAACATGTTAGGGTCACAACTCTTTGTTGAACACAGATCTTATTTTTTGCGATTTTCCAAAAGTCTATGGGGAAAATGCATAGCTTTTCGATTGAGGGAACCCATGCGCCGCTAACTTACGAGTGGGGCTGCAACAAACGATTATTTTGATAATCGATTAATCTAACGACTATTACAACGATTAATCGACGATTATTTTGCTGGCTAATCAGTACGTTTGGAATAATTATTCAGCTTTTTCCAATTAGTTAAAACATTGAGTTATACATATTCTTGCAGAAAGCGTTTTTATTTTTGATGACAAAAATAAAGTGATAAAAATAACTATTATAATATATATTGTTATCGCGAATTCAAATTTCTCATATTGTGAAATAAGTTTGTAGTCGTATCAACAAATTTATTCCCAGCATAATCATTGCTAAATATAATAGTTTTAATCATTTTTAAAATACATTTTCTTTAGGCCACACAATAACAATAATTATTAGCTTGCCTCAATATATGCCAGAATTTTAATATTGCTGCATCCTTAATATTTGATGTATTTGAGTGGGCTTAGATTGCTATGGAAAAGATTAGGTTCAACATGAAATCAAAACGGACCCCGTTAACTTTCTTAATTCATATTCTTGGTGTTATTGTACATGTTTTTTTCAATACCAAGCCGCCCGGCCACATTCTGGTATGCCAACACCCACGTTTCACGATTTAGTCAATTCCCGATGGATAAAATCCCACACTACATTTTTTCCTCCTCATTGCACATCATGTTCCACTTGGAAATACGCTGTACAGTAAAGTTTGATTTTGAAACATTAGTTTTATATGTGCTAATGTGGTTGTTTAAAAGGAACATTGATGTTGCGTAGGTGCAGTGTGAATCAATTCACAGTTAATGTCTTTGTAGAAGCTGTTGTTTTAGATTTGCATACACGCTTTGCATTATTCATGGCGTTAAAAAGCCTTAAAATGAACGTGCACTCAGCCTCTATGGCTGCAGACATGTCCTGAAAGCTGAGCTTCGCTCTCGGCTGTGTACATGAGATTCCTGTCTCTCTGGGACAAGTCAGGAAACATGCAAAGCCTGAGCTGTAAACATCCGGTTGTTGATACAGAGCTGACAGCCTCACCAAAGAGGCTTTGGCTCGGCTCACAGTGAGAGTATGGACCTGTGCCAAAACAGTCAGAGAGAGAAAGAGAGAGAGAGAGAGAGAGAGAGGCCTGACTGAGAGAAGTGCTTTTCTTTTCCACTGCTTAATGTATCGTGTAATTTTCAGGGGTCAAAACTGCCTTGGAATCCTACAATACAGTTTTATAACAAAACCTACAATAAATATCCTGTAAAAATCTTTGTAGTGTACCAAGGAAAATATGAAACTAAGGAAAGCAAGATTAACATCTGGCATGTTTTGTTTGGCCTGTACTATAATTGTCTGACATATTTGATAAGTGAGAGAGGCATTTTTCCATTTTTAGTTTGAATAATGATCTATTTGGTCAACACAATTGACCTATGGCTAAGCCACGCCCTCAAACACGATGAGCCAATCACAGTGCGCAGCTAACCCAATACACTCGGACATTCTCATTGTTAGTCAGTTTCATTTGTTTGTTTTTTTGTCATTTTAAGTTTAAAATGGTCAACCAGTGTTTATGGGGTACAGATGTGGCTGGGCGACGGTGTGTATTTTTTTTACCCTTTCCCAAGCCATATCTCAACCGAGATAAGTGTCTGTTTTGGATTAAGTGATGCGGTAGACCTCAACACCAAGTAAATGTGGATAAATTAAACAAGGATGTCTACATCTGTTCTAAGTTAAATCAACAACATATTTGAACGTTATCTTTAAAATCTCTAACGTTAGCCAAATATTAGAAAACGTTAACGTTAGTTTCTAGCTGCGTTGTTATTAACATATCTGTAAATAACCGAGATAACAAATGTTAACAATGTTGTGCTGAATGATTTATGTAAATACTGTAACACCAAACGGTGATGGCAATGATATGAGGTTTATCACGTTTACACTGTGACCTGTACATGTTTGCCTGGAGCTGAAGTTTTCTTCAACAATAAAATTCTCAACAATAAAATTATTAATATAACCCTCCAATGCATAGTCAAGGCCCTTTAGGTGACTTCGAGATGATATATAATCTTTCTATCTCCAAAAATCACCAATTGCCTCCTGTGAAATATCTCCTACTGTGACAGCCCCGAATGTTGACCGTTTGTCCGAGGGAGTGGCTTAACATAAGGTCTATTGAATTCACAACCTATTATACTTTTGATATTGTGTCACATTTTCGAGTGAAACGGTATTTAATGAGAAAAAAAAATGAATCGCTTGGATTAACTAACTAGGCTTTGGTCATGCTGATGGACTGGTTTTAATATCAGTTTTTACATTGACCGCTAGAACCGCTCCTACAGCCGTACTCCTCAAGACAGGCATCTTTAGTTGTTGCGCTATAACTCGTTCTGGTTTGTTTTTTGAGCGTTGTTTTTTTTAGGATGCATAAACTAGTTCCACTATTAAAATGGCTTTGACAATTTCACTATTAATCAGGTCTTGTAAAAGGTCATGCTGAACTGTCTGCCTAAAAGTTACAGAGAGTGTGCGAGTGAAAATTGGCTTTGACAAGTAAATAAAACGTCTTTTGACTGTTGGTTTGGCATTATACAACCATTCCATTTCAGGGTCTAAATGTTCAGTGACAACAAATTCTTCATTTATTACAAATAAACAGAATTTCCATAACAGCCTGTCTGTTGGGCTGTTGTTCAGTTTTCATAACCTAAAGGTTGTTTGGGGCCGAAGTGGGATGGAGACGTATTGAGGACACAAGACTTTTGCTCTACTTTCCCCAGGATATATTAAAGAGATACTCCACTTTTTTTGGATATAGGCTCATTTTACAACTCCCCCCGGTTGAGTTTTACCGTTTTCGAATCCATTCAGCCGATTTTCTGCTATTTAGAAGAATATCAGTAACCAGACAGTTTCTGGTCTCATTGACTTCCATAGTAGGAAAAAAAATATACCATGGAAGTCAATGAGACCAGAAACTGTCTGGTTACTGATATTCTTCTAAATATCAGAAAATCGGCTGAATACATTCGAAAACGGTAAAACTCAACTGTTTAACTTAAAAAGCCTATTTCCAAAAAAAGTGGAGTATCCCTTTAAGATAGAAAACAGTGCTGACAGAGATTTGAAGTGTTTAAAATCACAATCTGTATGTAGGAATGTTTTCATCCACCTATTTTTATGCTCATTTGGGGATATTGTATCTATAACTGCTGGATGGAAACGCTCTAAAAGTGTGCTTAAAGACCTTATGCGTCCGAAAGCAAGATAGATTACAAATTTATTGCATTTCGTCTACGCGTTCTAAGAAACAAGGAATTTATCATATATGAAAATTAATATACAGTGTCTTTTCCCACTTTTCTTAGTTATTATAAGCGCCAGTTTATCAGGAACTGACGATTCTGTCCTCTTCAACTCACTGGATGGAAACTGTATTTTATTCGCAAATGTTTAAAAGTTATATTCGCAATTTTGGATGGTCACTTTTGTTGATATCATCATAAATTGCATAAATTTAGTGTTACTTCATATTGTTAAAGCTGCAGTCCGTAGCTTTTTTGTGGTTTAAAATGATCCAAAATACATATTTGAGAAAATACATAACCAGCCAGTGTCCAAAACTCTCTGCTTGCGTTAGCTCGATTCAAAACGGTAAGCTTGTAATAACGTTTTTAATTCCAGTGGTACTGGTGGATTTCAGCGGGAGTGTTTCGTTGCGTCATTTCGTCACATCTGTACACATAAAGAAGAGTCTCGGCTAGTATAAGCTATATTGCAGTATCCACATCCCAATCAGAAATCCCCATGGATCACCGTAAGACTGATTCTCCACCCTTTCCCAGGCTTAGCACTGAACCCTGACCACCTGTGTCTCGCCAAACCCTACGATTAAGACATCAGTATTCACTGGAGAAGCAGACCAAACCGCGTGCCAGCCCTTGTTAAGGCTAAAATATTTACTCTGTGCGATGGGCTACCCGGGTGTTGAAAGAGCCGGTTTGGAGTTACAGATAAACACTTCAGCACTTTCTCTGTTGTCTGAGATAGAGGAATTGCCGCAATTACAGACATCATCTAATCGAGTCTTTTTGAGTGGATATCTGGAACGGAATGGGACTTTCACAATGGCTGCAACTTATTTACACGTGTATTGTGTATTTCTACTGAAAACTAACAGTGAAAATAGTTCTCCTGTAAATCTACAAGGATGAAATGGCTTTAGATATTATCATTGTGTTTACAGTTAATGTTTTATATATATATATATATTAGGGGTGGCACGGTTCACAAAACCCACGGTTCGGTTTGTATCACGGTTTTAGGGTCACGGTTTTCGGTTCTGTACGGTTCTTGTTATTTTTTCTTTTAATCTTTAACACTCCAGAAATGTACTTCAGCATGTGATATATAGCTTAATTATCCACACTTTAGGATACAGTATTAAAAAAATATATATTATATTCATGCAATCATGCACAAACTGAATTTGACTCTTTGACTTTAAGCACATTTTGGGACTATCTCAGAGGAAAGCTATAGGTGAGATTTAGATACAGCAAGAGAGAAGAAATTGACATGCTTTTTGTTTATTTGGCAAAAAAAAGGAGAATGTGTATCACTATCTCTACAAGAACTTGTGCATTTTTATCACATAAATCTTATTTACACAAAGAAATTAACTTTCATGTATCAACTACTAACTTTTGTAGCTCTTACCAAAATTCTATCTTTTAAAAGAAAAATAGAGGAACTCTTAAAACACTGTCTTTTAAATGTCAATATACATGAAACCTCATTGCCTATAGATAATTAAGCTATAGCAATAGCAAAGGCCATAAACATAAAGTGAAATTTAAGTTCAACCTCAACACAAAAACAGTATCAACAATGCTTCTATTCCCAAAATGTGAGGGTACTTTTTTCCACTTAAAATTAAAGTGCAGGGTTTGGAAACGTATTACTGAAGCTCTTATCTATACATAAAGTGCCACTGTAGCGTTATATTAAAATATCATAACATGAAATCCAAAATGTTCCCACACACCGGACTTATACCATAGACTTATACGACGCTGGCGCATCCTCCAACTCCCTCATCTCTCCCACTTGCCATTTCTCCGCGTGCCGTGACCTGCAGCGCTCCATACTCCACTTTTACTGGCTTGTTTATTAACTTGAACCGGCGTTGCACAGAGCGATCCGTAATGACATCAAATACCGCGAAAGTGATGAATGCATACGGAGCCGACTCGCGCTAGATTGATGTTATTCACCGATCGCTCTATGCAGCGCCGGTCCAAGTCGAACAAGTTTATGTCGCGCGAAAAGAAAACACACGTCACATACGGGCACGAGGTTACATTGCGCATGCGTCGAACCGTGAGACGCACACGCGCTCCGAACCGAGACAAGCGAACCGAACGGTTCGGGTGTTTTTTCATGTACCGTGCCACCCCTAATATATATATATGTGTGTGTGTGTGTGTGTGTATGTATATTAATGATCCAACAGATACGCCAATTCTGCATCGTCAACCAGGTTTTGTGGATTTTTGTGGACGCCGTGATACATTTGCATAATGATTCTTTGATTAATAGAAAGGTCAAATGAACATTTATTTGAAATAAAAAATCACTTTTCATCAATTTAATGCATCCTTACTGAATAAGTATTGATTTCTTAAAAAAAAACAAAAAACAAAATCTTACTGTCCCCAATTTTTTTAACCATAGTGTAGGTTAAGATAAGTTTGAAAATAATAGACTTTAGTCTTTACCGATTTAAAAATATGTGAGTTATGCATGTTTAAATGTTCTTTTCAGTTCATCACAGAGACTTCGATTTCTTTCCTACGAAACGTTTGCATGAGCTAAAGCCTTGGGGAATTCATTTAAACCAGTTGAATGCTATCGGTTGAAATGCTGAGGCCAAAAAAAGTGCAGTGACCCAGTTTGGCAAGAATGGATCCTGGGCATACGCCCCATGCTGATGTCATTGTCTTTATTTAGGCTGGTTTAAATATTTCAGGTATGCCCATAATTCAATGGGAGATTCCATTCGAATATTTTTATTTACCTAACACACCATACGATTTGGAAATGAGCTAATAGTCTAAGAGCTCAAATGTTCTTCTCTTGCTGTAATGTCATTCCTGGAACCAAAAGGATTGGAATATTTGACAGAGGACATTGTGAAGAAATCCATGTTAAGGCATTTGTGGCAAGTGGATAAGCACAGTTATTCATGTCTGGGTGAAACATGATGAGCTTTGGGGAATCCAAGTAAAAGATTCATTATGTTCAGACCGATGACAGCAATACTAGTCTATTCTCACGAGCTTCTCTTCTTTTGCAGGTGACATGGTCAGACTCTTCATCTACTGCGGTCACCAAAACTCACCGTGAGTTGGAGGATTTTCTTTTAAAGGTGAGCAGAGAGACAGGTCTTTGGTGCTGTATTTTGTGTTTGTTTAGTCTCGTGGATCTGGCGCACATACCAGTGTGCCAACCAGTCGGGCAAGATGCCACCTGGCCAGATCAGCAGGGACGTTCATCTGTTTCGGTTTCTGTTTCCCTCTCTTTGGGTCTGTTCAAAACAGAATACTAGCATCCTGTGTGCTTCAGTGTTATTTTAGTATTATTTACATTAGGGATGCACGATAAATCGGACAGCATATCGGTATCGGCCGATATATGTTTATTTTTAATGTTATCGTTATCGGCCTGGTAAGAAAATGTGGCCGATATATTAAAACCGATAAATAATGTATTATTCCCTTCAGCTGAGACACTTGTTGAGAACTGTTTATGTTTTTGAATTTCTTGAAATATGAGTGAAATCTCTTAAAAAAATGAAAATCTGGTTCGGGACAACATGAGAGCAACGCAAATCTGTCATATCGGCTATACAACACTATGATGAGAACATCATTATAATTGTGTGCTTGGGATGTGGATTTAATGAGACTTTTGTTTTTGTAATCAGGCTCTCAAAAAAATTAGATAAAATTTTTTATTTAAGTTTATCGGCCGATATATCGGCTTTCAAATATAAAGAATTATCGGTATCGGCCAAAATTTTCATATCGTTGCATGATAATTTACATACAGTATTTATTCATATTTTTAATTGGCTTTTATTTTTATTTTTTCATTCTTAATTTTAATTTTAGTTCAGGTTTTAGTAATTTTGTTGCATGCTTTTTTTTTGTACTTTTGTTATTAGTTTCAGATAGCTATTTTTTAGTACCTCAATTTAACTTTTTTTTTTCAATTAACTGCCAAGGAAACTTTCGTTTCAGTTTTTCATCCAATATTTGTTTTTGTTTTTCATTTCAGATTTTCGTTTTAGTCAACAATAACAACACTGATGTACTGCATACTGTGTGTGTGTACTTGTTTAACCTACATCGTGGGGACCATCCAGCGGTCCCTACGAGAGAAACATAACATACTAAATAATGCTTATTTGAAAATGTTGAAGTGCAGATAGTTTTCTGGGATGGGTAGGTTTAGGGTTGGGGTTAGGGGATGGAATATATCCATCCATATGTGTGTGTGTAAATTACATTACAAGAGAAATTACATTCTAATCAAATTATTGAATCAAGACTCAAGATATTACACTGGAAATGGAGGGTCAGGTCGGGCACATTGCATTGTAGGATACAGTTTTCCACCACAGTGTGGTTTGGTTGTGCACAGCAAATTTTGTCTAACATAGATAGTTGGGTCATCTGGTTATTCTCTACATTATGTACAGATAATTCTCACATTCATAATGTGCACGGTATTCATTTTGTATACTGCAAATGTAGTTTGGTACTGGTAGTATGCCATTTCAAACAGCCAAACATTCAGTTTTTTGCCTTATTTGGCATTTTACCTCCTGTTTAGCTGTAGACAATGTAAAGTGAGGTAAAATAATGCCTAAAACAATCCCTCTTTCTCTCTAGCTTCCTAAGGAGCAGAGCCCAGATGGCTTTGAGAAGGGCATCGTCAGATTACTCAGTCGTGGAGATCAATGTGAATCAAGAGAACTGGAGAGGAACCTCAGGTGAATCTCATTTTGTTGAGCGAATGATGGGGAACATTACTTTTAATCGGAACATGTTAAAAAAGGTCCTTCCCTTTGCTTTGGCTCTCTATCTTTTCCAGAACGGAACGCTTGTACATGTTATTGTTCAATTTGAAGCACTATTCGCTCTCATTACCCGGATTGCAACATTGTGTCGGCCCAGATCTGGATTCCACGTGTACCGGATCTGAACCGACACTTTGTTGCTGTGTGTGTTTAATCACATTATTGCCTGCATTTAGCCATGCATATATTGTATTTTATATTTAATGAATTGATTAATTTGAAATTACGAGAGCATTGGTTTTATTAGTTTCAATGTTTGAATGATATAGAAGGATGCAGATGGTTTTAAATTCTTCAGCGATTGAAGATTTGATGAACCAAATTGTTAAAGGGAATCAGTAGCTACGTTTACATGGACATAATAGAATTGAAATCAATACGATTGATGAATCCGATCAAGGTGTTTACATGAATGATAAATAAAGTGATCGGGTTGATTTGCGCGTTTATATGTCACAAGATTCAAATCGGAATTGATTTTTTGACATGCGCACACTGTACAAATATGCCACTGTTATTACGCTATTTCAACGTCCTTGCACATGCGCAGTCTAGTTTCGTTTTTCAATCCGATCAAGTGTTTACATGTTCTCTCGCTCGGATTACAAAAGGAGTAAACCACCCCTTTCAATCCGATTGAAATTCTAGTCGGATCGAGCTCAATCGGATCGATTAAGGTGTTTACATGAAGGGTTTTTAGTCCGATTGAGCAGTCAATCCGATTAAAAGGGTCCATGTAAACGCAGCTAGTGTTCAATGTTGTTGTTTTTTTGTCACATGTAACAAAGTGTCCTTGTCAAGTCCCTGAACACATGGTAGTATTTGGGTCAGTAACACTGATGTCATGACCAGAGGGGATTCTACTTCCTGTAGCACAGTTTAGATGCGGTCACAGATTGTGCAAGATGTTGTTTTACTATTTTAAAAAGCTTTACCTCTCTCTTGTTGGTTTGCAGGGAGAAGTTCCTGTCTTTATCGCAGGATGTCCTTCAGAGATGTGATGTTTCCAGGTTCTTCCTGTCTGATGCTTCTGTACTGCCATGTAACCACTGTGAGGAACCTTCTCACTGGCCAATCAGAAAATGTTATCAGTTGATGATTAATGTTAAAATGACCAAATCTGTCCTGATCTCTCTTTGTGATGCTAACCCGTCTGCTCCTCTCTGCAGGTACCAGTGCGCCCGTGACCAGAATCCATCAGCCTGAACGTGGTTTCTCTGAGGACTGCTCCGAGACTTCCAGCCTAGAGGAGGGTGAGCGATCCAGACCTGTCAGATCTGCCCTAGAAACACACGCCAGCACCATTACACTGTACTGACTGCTGCAATCTCATCGCTGTCGTTTCTCTTTCACAGATGGAGAGGCTTACAGTGTCAGAGCTGCGGGACTGAGGTAGACCTTCATTAAATAAATTTGGATTTTTATTCAGCAAATATGCATTCAATTGATCAAAAGAAGAGATGGAAAAGACAGACATAATGTTATAGAAAATATATACCTATGTGCATGATCTGTGTTCCTCTCGTGTAGTAATCAGCGCTCTGAATGCCAGAGGAGAGGAAACTGTGAGCAGAATGGAGAGAGAGTTTGGAAGAAAGAAACTGAATTGGAACAGGTGAGTCTGTGAAATTGTTTCTCGCTCTCATAGTGCTTCTGCAGCATGTAAACTGTCTATAATGAAATGCTTTAGTGTATCCTATAATTCAATGTACTCAAATTCCATTTCCATAAGTTAATAATGAACTGGGAAGAATCACTTTTTGATTGGACTGTCAAAAGGTCTTCTTTTTTCTTTTAACATGAGGACAGGGCGCTACTCACCGAATTTAACTTGAAACCTAATGAACTAATGTGATTACAATGCAGCATACTACTTCATAGTGTAAACTGTTTTGCATACTATTTTAAAGTAACAAATAAAGTACAGACACAGTTGGTCATTCTAACAATTTGAGGTAATTTATTTTGAGGTATGTTGTGCTCACACACTCTTGTTCTGTCTCTGCAGAGCTGCACCAGTGACCGAAGAATCTTCACAGCTGGACAGAAGAACAAAGGAAGATCAGCTGGAAAAAGGTACACACACACACACACTGTCATTTCTTTAATTTTCGTTCTACTTGTTTGCAGATTGTAATGTTGATCTGGTTTTTGTGTCTTAACTGAGATAACATTTTGAAATTGGTCAATGTACGGGATAAAAACCCAACGATTCAAAGGGGTAGTTCACTTTTGAAAAAACGTTTTGCTGATAATTTACTCACCCCCATGTCATCCAAGATATCCATGTCTTTCTTTCTTCAGTCGAAAAGAAATTAAGGTTTTTGATTAAAACATTCCAGGATTTTTTCCATATAATCGACTTCAATGGGAACCAAACGGTTCAAGGTCCAAAAGATACTTTCAGTGCAAACTGCAAACTGTTCAAAGGGCTTTAAACAATTCCAGACGATGAATAAGGGTCTTGTCAAGCAAAACAATCGCTCATTTAATAAATAAATAACAAAGTTTAAGTTTTATAAGCTCAAATGGTCGCCTTGCTCTGTTCTGTGATGCACGTTTGTGACTCTCCTGTTCGAACTCGTTCATCAAAATGAACGAATCTTTTTCCGGTGTCAAAATTGACTCGGAAAAAGATTTGTTCATTTTGATGTTTTTTGATTCATCGTCTGGAATCGTTTAAAGCCCTTTGAACTGTTTGCAGTTTGTACTGAAAGTGTCTTTTGGACCTTGAACCGTTTGATTCCCACTGAAGTCCATTATATGGAGAAAAATGCTGGAATGTTTCATCAAAAACCTTAATTTCTTTTCGACTGAAGAAAGAAAGACGTGGACATCTTGGATGACATGGGGGTGAGTAAATTATCAGCAAAAGTTTTTTGAAAAGTGAACTACTCCTTTAAGACAGTTTCTTGTACTCACTGATGCAGCAGGAGTGTATGGTCATCATGGCTGCTGTACCACTGTTGTATGTTTTCAGGGATCGAGGACGACGAGTCGCTGGTGTCAAGAGTTCTAAACCTTCGGCAGCACTGATGATCAACCAGGCAGCTTGTAAAGGTGTTTGTGCCATGGCTAGAAAAAGTCATCCGTGCATCTCTAAATACATCACACATGCATGTATTACCACCTCACTGTGACCTACAACTTTGTGTTCTCCTGTTGTTTGGTTTCTAGACACCGGGAGGGACCGGTATGGGGACACGTCATCAGAGAGCTCAAACTCAGTGCCGTCAAGCCCTGTTCACCAGAAGAGCCTGGAGGACCAAGGTGCGTTACCTTTTTTTACACACATTATATTTTTGGCCTTTTTATGCCTTTATTGGAGAGGACAGTATTCATACTATACTAGGCTTAGATGAGTGAATGTGTTCTAGGGCTGCAACGTCGACAATAAAAACATAATCATGAAGATATTTTTATCGAAGATATTTTTTTCCATAATCATGAAGGCTTACAAAAGGAGATGTTAGGAATAATATCATGGCAGTTACTTTTTCTTTTTCATTCTGTAAATTAAAAGGTGAATGAGAACATCTCTGTCAACTCAATTCTCATGTAAAAAAAACTATTGTAATTTTATATCTATAATAATGGTTTGCAGATTAATATTTGACCCTTTTTGTGTCCTGAAGTAATGACCCTTTTTCTGTTTCAGTTCTATGAAAAGCAGTGGGCTTATTAAACAATGCTTAGAGAGCATTTGTGTGTGATTTGAGTTCAACTTAAAGAGAATGACCTGTTTAGTTGGCTCTAAGTTCATTAAAACCACTATTTCAAAAGCTGAACTGATTTTCTTTTTTTATATTATAGTAAGAATATGTATAACTCAATGTTTTAACTGATTGAAAAAGCTGGATAATAGTTCCAAACTTACTGATTAGCTGGCAAAATAATCGACGATTAGTTGATTAATCGTTCTAATAATCGTTAGATTAATCGATTATCAAAATAATCGTTTGTTGCAGCCCTAATCTGTTCCTTTAACCATTGGTCACATCCTCTAGAAAGTAATTTGATTTAAAAATTCTAATCTGTTGTCATATACTGTAGGTTGATACCTTTATTAAATGATTGACATTTTTAATTTGTTTAAACTCGTGTCTATTCAGATACGGAGAGTCAGTCGGATAACTCGGCCCAGGAACCAGCTGAAAAGACTCACCCCGCCAAAGGCGTTGGCGGGAAAGCGGTTGCCATGGTGAATCCATTAGTTGCCGAGCCCCAGAACGTCCCTCAGCCTCCTTCAGTGGTGGAGTTGGCACTGACCGCGTGCCTCCCCTACTCCCTGCAGTACAACACTACCCAGAGCGACACTGGCACTGGGCAGGGCAAGATAACCATCACCATCCCACTGGGCCAAGACCCGGGAACATCATCAGCCAGCGCTCAACCACTGCAGCAGCCACCGCTGGGGGCGTTCAGTGTCCTCCCGGCCAGCCATTGTCCTCTACAGCCCGCCAACGCCACAACCAACAATCCTGTCAAAACAAACGCCAAGTCCTCCGTTACCGCCAGCGCCAGTGCCAGTTCCTGCACTCTCTCCAATAGCCAAGTACCGTGTGCACCCACAAGTGTACCCACGCACACCCCGGGGCCGGGCCCCCTACCGGCCCCCGCGGTCACACACAGCACCGCTCAGAGCGATTCCTTGTCCTACATCAACAGCTCCAGTCTGCCGGTTACCCCACAGGCGTGCGGGATGCAGCAGGGGGGCTGCAACTCTTGCGGCTGTCGAGGCACCTGTGGGGGCAACGGCACCCATCAGACACCCGGCTACTTCCTGCCGCCCCAACCTACCCGTCAGATCTTTGGGCCTCCGCCCACCTTCTTCCACCTCCCTCCGTCTCTATGCAACAGCTTCCCCGCCCAGGGTCATCAGAATAACGGGACGCCTATGTCCTTCTACACCCACAGTGGTCCCCATACAGCGTTCCTCCACGCTCACTCGGATCACATGATGGCATCGCAGGCGGGCTACAGCCTGCCTCAGATGCCTCCCTTCCGTCGCTTTTACCCTCCCGTCTTCCCGCCGGTCGGCCTGATGTCTGGCGGAACCAACATGAAGAAGAATAACAACGTGTCCTGCTATAACTGCGGCATGAGCGGACATTACGCTCAAGACTGCAAGCAACCGTCCAACGACGCCGGGGTTACAGGTACGATGATGCGGGTAACGCTCTACACAAGTATGCAAAGACAGATGTAATTTTTCTTTTGCACATTCCAATTTGCAATTTTTTGCGTATCATCTCCGTTATCTGCTCGTGTATTTATAAAATGTTGAAAAAAATTAATTACTTGGAAATTATAATAAAGTATAAATATTAGAATACAACCAGAAAATACTGGAAATGTGTATGCTGTATTAAAAAAAAAGACAGCTTCTATGGTTTATAGTAGGGCTGCTGTATTATGGAAAAAAATCATAATCACGATTATTTTGGTCAATATTGACATCGCGATTGTTGGTGAGTGATTTGATCAAAGTCTTGTAATTTTTAAATCTCAGTAAAATTTCACAATTCAGCAAAAACTATACTAGGTTAACTAATGTAGCCGAGTAAAAGCTCCTTAACGGTTCCAGAAGACAAGACAAGTGCAACAGAACAAAAATTCGAATGAAATAAACAGTGCTTTAAGTTTTTCAGGAGGATGTATTGGTATTCAGAGAAACAACCTACAACAGAGAATAAAGAAATCAAATGTAAAATACATTAACTGCATAGTCTTCACTGTACTTATAATAATCCTTATTAAAGCTACAAAAATAATTCATTCAAGAGCACTGAGTGATTTTATCACTGTCATTTGTTTGATTAACATTAACGGCACTGACTGAAGCAGTAATGTTTAAGCAGTAACCGCTGTTTACATTCACTTAAAGGGTACATATCATGCTTTTAAATCATTCATTTTTACTTATAAATCATACCGTTGTGGTCTATATAAAGCATAACTGCAATGCTTGGGTCTGAATTCCTCATTATTATAGCTCCACAGGCCCCTTTTCTGATGTGCGTCTTTGAGCGATCCGTTTCAAAGCGGCCCCTTTAAATAAAATGCAGTTGCGTCTTTCCCCGCCCGCTCTCCAGGTCGCTGAGTTCACACTCAGTTCAACTCCCCACGTTCGGCCATTATTGTAGTTTGATAAGAGATATACGATTATATACTATAGCTTCAAAGAACATTTTTAGTCACTCGTTAACAAAATGTCAACAACAGAAGACATGTCCATCAAGCCTTACATATTCGAGCCAGAGCGAGCGAGTTGATAAAGACGAACCTGCAGAACAACGTCTTCATGTGGATCTATTGGTATGTGAGTTAACTGTTTTGTGTTATTAGTGAAAGTCGACTATTTCTCTTGTTAAAACAAGCACACTGACAAGATAAATGACTACGGTCCAATCTTACCACAAACAATCTGCATTAATAATAATATAATAACTTGCGTGTAGAAAAGCATCAGAAAACACAGCAGCTAAATAATTGAAGGAATTAACCCCTCATTCAGACAGAAGTCGATCGGCAAACCCTTCTTTATACTGGCGGAGGTTGTTGAAGTGGGGATCCTTGAAGTGCTTCAGGTCACTACATCCAACAACCGAACATTTTGACTTGCCCTCTCGTAACTTCTGCATCATTGAGCTCGGACTACAAAATCGGAGCGAGAAATAATAATGGCGGATTGCTCGAAGTGTTGGGCCGGTAGTCGATGTCCTTATTTGGCAGTTCCGCTGCAAATACAGTGACGTGATACTTCAAAAAACGTCATAGAGAACAGAAAAATCTGAACAGGTTGAAAAATATGACCAAAACAAAATATATAGATATAAACGAAGCACCTGAAGAGAATACTTTCATCTTTTCTGTACTTATAAACACTCCAAATATACAACAAAATGCATTTAAGGGCTAAAAAAGTGGAATTTGCATGATATGTCCCCTTTAAAGGAGTAGTTCACTTTAAAAAAAAAAAATTTGCTGATAATTTACTCACCCCCATGTCATCCAAGATGTCCATGTCTTTCTGTCTTAAGTCGAAAAGAAATTAAGGTTTTTGATGAAAACATTCCAAGATTTCAGAGTCCATATAATGGACTTCATTGGGAACCAAACGGTTCAAGGTCCAAATGAGAGTTTCAGTGCAGCTTCAAAGGGCTTTAAACGACACCAGACGATGAATTAGGGTCTTATAGGACAGATATCAAATATAAGCATCACTGCATGAACTACACAGTCCGAACTATTTGCACAGGCTACTTCCAGTACTCAGTAGTGCTGTCTGTGCTTTGTGTCCACATATTTGCTTTTTAGCGCTCATACTGATACACGTCTGTATGTTTCAGGTGGTTTCCGGCTGAAGTATGTTGCCCCAAACACCTCAGAAGCTCTTGACAAAACCGATTGACAGAAAGCAGGGGACCAAAGCCCTGCCAGCCAGCGACTCCAGAGACCCTTTAGATAGAGTTTTGTTCTGTTTGTATAAGCTCTGGAGAGGTTTGCTTTAAAAAAGAAAAAAAAAGAGCCAATGCAAATGACAGATGGCAAGACAAGTTGCTAAACATAATGAGTTCTCTTAGAAATTAAATGATCTTAATGTTATAGTTTAAATAGGACGGATTGTAAGAGGAGTTTTGTTTCAGGTTCAGAATAGTTTATTGTTGTCCGAAGGATTTTATTCAAGCTATTTCGCTCTAATTAGCAGCGTCTGGCCAAGTTAATGAGAAAAGGAAACTTACTTGAGTCCTGTAGTGCAGTATTTTTTAGTTTTAGTTTTTTCCGACACGGGTGAATCTTTATAGGCTTTTATACATGCTACGGGAGAAAACGACAAGGAAAAAAATACTGCAAAGGAATATTTTGGAAGTTCTTGTTTTGTTATTGAAGATATGCATTCTCTTTCTGATGGCAGAAAGGACGTTTTTGAGGGCTTCTAATGATGCTCTTACAACATTATGCGCTGCTGGTTTGCCCTGTTCTCCTTCTCAACGCGATGCACTACAACTGTTGTTCTCTGAAAAATGTGAGTCGGGTGTTTGAAATGCACTGAAATAGCCAGATCTGCAAGACTGCCTCTCATTCACACCTCTGACCACTAGAGGCCGCCATAGTTACTCATATCAGTTACTCAGTCGCCCCTCAAGTTGTTCCAAACCTGTATGAGTTTCTTTCTTCTGTTGAACACAAAAGATTTTTTGAAGACTGTTGGTAACCTGACCGTTGACATCCGTAGTATTTATTTTTGATTACCAACATCCGTTAGAATATCATCTTTTGTGTTCAACAAAAGAAAGAAACTCATACAGGTTTTGGAACAACTATTGAGTTTTGGGCGAACTATCCCTTTAAAGGGATAGTTCACTCTGAAATTCATTTTTGGTATGTTTTATCTTGCCTCAAGGGCATCCAAGATGTAGGTGTCTTTGTTTCCGCAATAGTTTCAATTTTGATATTTTTATGTCTAACCGTTCTTGTCTGTCAGATATAATGCAGGACTATGGTCACCACCTCAAAGAGCATGCACAGAGAATTCCAAATTAAACATGATTTAATGACTCGTAAATGTAAGTACACATCGATGGCCTAAGACACGAAACGAGCGGTTTGTGTGAGAAAGCGAATAGTATTTATATAGTTTTTACCTCGTTACCTCAGCCATGTCCAAGTACTCTGAGGGCGCGGGCGCTTTGTGGCTGTGGTAAAAACGATATAAATACTGTTCGTTTTCTCACACAAACCGCTCGTTTCGTGTCTTAGGCCATCGATGTGTACTTACATTTACGAATCATTAAATCATGTTTAATTTGGACTTCTCTGTGCATGCACTTTGAGGTGGTGACCATAGTCCTGCATTATATCTGACAGACAAGAACGGTTTGACCTAAAAATCTCAAAATTGAAACTACTGCGGAAACAACGACACCTACATCTTGGATGCCCTTGAGGTAAGCTAAAACATACCAAAAATGAATTTCAAAGTGAACTATCCCTTTAAGACTTGAGTCCGACAAAATTCTTCATCCATGTTCATCCTAAGCCTAAAGCACTGTAATTCCACACAAGTTACTTTCTAACAAAGAAAAAAAAGTTATTGTTAATGCGGGACAGCTTTGAGCATCCATAATATCTTGCTTGTGTCTGCGAATTGTCAAAGAACCAAAAGGCGAACATTTGTGCCTATTGCCATGCAAGCAGCTGGAAGTGTGTTGGAAATAATTTCAAGTCTTAATTCTTTGTGTTTAAAGTACATATTTAAAATTACAAAGTTGTATTTCTGAAATCATATTGCAGTTTTGCCAAAGCAGCCCTAACCTTTTTTTTTATATATATAAATATATACAAATATATATATATATAAGGAGATTTGGCATGTTTGTATTGAGAAAAATACATTAAAGGATTTTATTTTGATATTTTCATGAGATTTTGCTGAAGGGCTCAAGGCCTTTAATTGCTTGTCCAGGAGTTTTTAGCACATTTATGGTTCGTAACATGCGGTGGAGTAGACGAGTCGCTTTCCACAACAGTGTTGCAGGTTTTTAAATGTGCTTTCATTCGGTTTGGTAAATTGTTACTAATCTGTAAATAGACTCAAAAGGGAGTTAACTACTCGAGGTTCAAACCATGTCGACTGTATTCGTTACACTTTTTATAGATTTATGAAGCTGTACTGTATGGATGAGGTTTGATATCTGCCTCCGAGTTTACGTTTACTGTATTTCATATGTAAATGTTGATTAATCTGTTCTGAGAGGTCAAATTAATCTGATCACGTTTGCATTTTTTGGCAAATTGATCATTTCTGTCAAGAAATTAGCAATAAATATTTAAAAAAGACATTTTGTGGTGTTGCTCCTGATTTGAAATCATGTCATGTGATGCATCATGCTTTGTGGGTAGATTACTTACAAATTGTAGTCGGTTACTGACTTTTTTAGTGATGTTGTGGGACTCGAGACCGATTTCTGCTCTCTCCGACTCGTCTCGTACTTGTTCCTTCAAAGACTCTGTCTTGACTTGGACTCGACCCTTCAAAGACTCGGTCTTGACCCAGGCCACAGTGGGAGAAGAAGGACTCGTCATTTTCAGACCGAGTCCTCAAGGTTTTCTTTCAAGTGCATTTTTTATGTTCATATAAAACACACACACAACACATAACAACAACAATAATAAAATGCAATGTTGACAAGTATTATTTGAAAATGACATCCCATGGTGCAATGCAAAGATACTGCCGTCAGAGTCATCATGTCTTCAGTTGCTGCCTGGTGTAAGCGGCGCGAGTCTGCCATCATCAAATTCGCCTTTCAGAACCACAAACCGCTGGTGACCATAAACCTGCATTATATGACTGACAGACAACAAGAACGGTTTGACCTAAAAATATCAAAATTGAAAATAGAGCGGAAACAAAGACACCTACACCTTGGATGTCCTTGAGAAAAGCTTAAACATATCAAAATGCTCATAACAATTCCCAATCTAGCTTAGTCTGTAGGCCTAACTGTTGATCATTAACTGGGGGGGTGATATCATGAATATCAAAACTGATATGTCAGGACAAAATCTCGACTCTGACTTACTTCCTTGACTGGTCTTGACTCGGACTCGATTGTATTTAAAAATCAACGGACTCAGTCTTGACTCTAACTCGACTGTATTTAAAAAAATATCGGACTCGAACTCGACTGTATTTGAAAACCAACGGACTCGGACTCGACCATTCAAAGGCTCGGTCTTGACTCGAACTGACTAGGCCTATTTAAAAACCAACAGACTCGGTCTCGACCCTTCTTAGCCTCGGACTCGACTGTATTTAAAAACCAACGGATTCAGACTCGACGTTTCAAACACTCGGTCTTGACTCGAACTGACTGTATTTAAAAACCAACAGCCTCGGTCTTGACTCGGACTCGACTGCATTTAAAAACCAACGGACTCGGACTCGACGCTTCAAACACTCGTCTTGACTCTTGACTCGAACTGGACTGTATTTAAAAACCAACGGATTCGGACTCGACCCTTCATAGCCTCGGTCTTGACTGGACTCGACTGTATTTAAAAACCAACGGACTCAGACTCGACGCTTCAAACACTCGGTCTTGACTCGAACTGGACTGTATTTGAAAACCAACGGTCTCGGACTCGACTCTTCAAAGACTTGGTCTATGGCAAGCCGTTTTAGCTTTTATTCATCTCCAGGATATGAATTCTTGATAGCCTATCAACAATTACATTCTTGATATCAACAATTACATTTTTTTGATATCAAGAATTTAATTGTTGATATCAACAATTGAGTTGTGAAAATACAATTACAGATATCAGCAATTCAATTCTTGATATCAAGAATGATTAAAAGTTAAAACGGCTTGATTCGGCATAGGCGGTCTCGTCCAAATCACTACACATAACACACACAATTGGCTTTATGCACAGCTTCACTACTTCCTGAATTTCAGCCAGCTCCTTGTTTCCTGTCTGCCATTATTGGCCAAATTGATTAATTCAGGTGTGTCTGATTATTGTTGCCATGACAACTGAGGTCAGGCACACCTGGATTAATCAATTTGACCAATAATTGCAGACAGGAAACAAGAAGCTGGCTGAAGTTCAGGAAGTAGTGCAGCTGGGCATAAAGCCAATTGAGCCCACATGCTAATAGAGGCAACCATGGTGTCATTCTTTCTATTACATTATGGTTGGCTCATAAATGTACAAATAAAGACTCTATCTTAAAGATTTTTTCAAGTAGACACCTAAACATAGCCTCTTTAACATTAAAAAAGGTAAATAAATGCTATAAAAATATTTGGTATATAAGTGTTAACTGATGTTACTAATGAGACTATTTTGTACTCTTGCTGATTTCATTTATTTTATTAAATATACTTGACAGCAAAGTGGCGGTTTGAAATGTTTATTGCATTATGTGACATTCATTCTTAAACTAAAATATGAAGCAGTTTGCTAGTACTCCAATCTGAACAGTCATTTAAAGCCAGTTATGGCACGGTGTAATCAAAATTGTATCAGTTACGTGAAGATTTGAATCTGCGGTCAGGCGCTCATGCTGGAGTCTCAGGACCCATGAGCACGGCCAATGAGAAGAGAGGGATGATTAAACATTTCAATAGTCACGCAAGCTGCCTGTTCCTCATAAACAGTCAGATCCAGGGCATGTGTGTGTGTATAAACAGATGACCTGTGGTCTAATCCAAGATCATACATCATTCAGTGTGGATTACTTAGTGTTTATCCAGATTTTATTGAAATGAAAACTGACGTGGTTTGTTACAGACCTGGAATCCTGAAAATGTTTCTGTACATCGAGTCATCATAAATCATCAAAGCCGTCACTGACATTGCAGTGAATGTATTTCCAAAGTGCATCAAGGGGATGTCTTAGTCTCCAGGGGTCAAAGGTCAGGTTATTTCAGCAGTTTAGGTACAGTCATAGAGGTCATCGCAGTCATGGTGCTGGATGGCACAGTGATGTCTCTGAAGACAGGTTGAGACACA